TTGGAAGGCCAAGGCAGGGAGGACTGCTTGAGCCCAGGAAGTCGAGGCTGCAGTGAGCCATGATTGTGCCACTGTACTCTAGCCCACACTACAGAGCAAAACCCTGTCTCAAAAACAAAAGTCAGGCTCAAAAGACTACAATGTTAAATGATTTTATGAATATGACATTCTGGAAAAGGAAAATTTCTAGGAACGGAAAACAAATCAGGTTGCCAAGTACCTGGGGGTTGGGAGAAGGACTGACTACAAGGAAGCAAGAGGGAATTTTGGTGGTGATTTAACTGCTCTACACATTGACTGTGGTAGTGGGGGTCACACAAATATATGTGTTTGTCAAAATCACAGAATTACACACTAAAAAAGGTGAATGTTTCTATATGTAAATTTTTCCTTAATAAAAAAATTTTTATGTTAAGCTAAGTAAAACAAAACCCAAAAGTTTTCATATGCAAAACCTTAAAAAAAAATGGCTAAACCCATTTTCTGGAATTATGATCTAAATTACAACTATGCTCCATAAGGCATGTTAATCTGCATGTTTTTACTTCTCTAATAGTAAAACAAAAGTACATTTGAGTCCCTAAAAATATATTTTAAAAGATAAAGAAACCTATAAGGTATTTGATAAATTCCAAATGTCCACTAGGTCATTACCTCAGTGAGATCCATTATCATGTCTTCTCTCATCCTACATTCTTATCTGCTCTCTTCAGTTTCTCAACATCTTTTTAACATTTTGACTATCTACCACATCTGAACTTTCAACTTTACATTTTATCAACTAATATAAAATTCGCTTTAAATTTACTTCTCAACAAAATCTACTAGTTTTTCCTCTGATAATACTCTCAGTTTTATCCTTATCATAGCCATTTTCCCTATCACCTTAGTCCATGTCCTTATCTCTTGCTCCTGGCTAGTCTTCTTGATTTCAGTCTATGTCTACTTTCATAGATTCTGTCATAGCTGGCAAACTGATCTACTCAAAGCCTTCTTTAGTTCCTCAGTTTTTTCTTGGCACATTGGGTCTGCCCTCACCTAATCAGTGGCACAGTTTTTCTAGTGAAAATAGATTGAAGGATATTTTAATGGGACAGTGAGAAAAATTGGTTTAGTACCTTAGTATTACTCTCACAGAAATCTGACAAATGGTTTTAGATTATATTAAAAACTTAATATCATTTAGGAAATAAGTAAAAATAGTTCAATTTTAAAAATCAATTAAAATCCAATTTAAATAATCTGAGATAGCCCTCAGAATTTATTTGCATTAAACGATGATGTTATTATCCCCAAAACAGTCATGTCCTAACAAAGCTCTTAATTATTTGCCTTTCTACATAATTTTCTGGTTCTTTCATAATTCAGGAGGTCTGGAACATGTATAAATTCAGCAGATACTTCCCAAATTATGTTTCACATAGAGGTTAAAAGGTATGGGTGTGGGGAGGTGTGTAATGTAAGTAATGAGGGTAGAGCAAGGACTTCACGGTCAAGTTAGTTTGGAAATGTTTTTCTTTCTGTACTTTGAACATTTTTTTCTCAGAGTACACTCACTAACATCTCACAGAACACTGGGCAGAGCAGAGTTTGAAATCTTTCTACAGAGGATTGGTTAAATTAAGTTGAAAAAATTTTGTTACCTTTAAGGCATAATGCCTATGCCATGGGCAGCAGTTTCCAAATAGCAACCAATTGGGGAATGCAGACACAACTCATGTAGATTCATACTGGTGTTGAATAGCTAAATGAATATATTGCCACTAAATGAGTACGCTGGTGACTGGAAGTGTTTGCATCACGTTGAAGATTTTTAGAGACACACAGTCTCATGCTCTTCCCCAAAATTACTGAATTCCAATCTTCAGAATTTTAACAAGATCCCTACATGATTCACATGCATACTGAGGACTGAGAAACACTGGTCTAGAAAGAAGGTTGGCAAACTTCTTCTTAAAAGGGCCAGATAGGGGGCCAGGTGTCATACCTGTAATCCCAGCACTTTGGGAGGCCGAGGCAGGTGGATTACCAGAGGGCAGGAGTTAGAGACCAGCCTGGCCAACATGGCGAAACCCTGTCTCTACCAAAAATACAAAAATTAGCCAGGCCTAGTGGCGGATGCCTGTAATCCCAGCTACTCGGGAGGCTGAGACAGGAGAATTACTTGAATCCAGGAGGCGGAGGTTGCAGTGAGCAGAAATGGCGCCTTTGCACTGCAGCCTTGGTGACAAGAGTGAAACTCCGTGTCAAAAAAAAAAGGGGGGGGGCGCAGATAGTTAATATTTTCTTTTGCAGGTCATTGCAATCTCTGTTTTAACTACTCAACTATGCTGTTTACCATAATTACAAGAGTTAATATGGTAAGAAGATATAACAAAGATGCATTTACATCTAGGAACAGTGCTTCAAAATACATGAAGCAAAAAAAAAAAAAAAAAGAATTGAAAAAGGAAGTAGACAATTCAGGAACTATAATAGAGATTTTAATCTCTATTACAGAACTAGACAGAAAATTAACAAGGCTATAGATATATGAATAACACTACCAACCAACTTAATCTAGCTGATATTTATAGTACACTGTACCCAACAATAGAAGACTCATTATTTTCAAGTGAACATGGAATAAAACATGCCATGCCACAAAGCAAGTGGCCTAAAAGACTAAAATCATACAATGTTCTCCAGCCACATGGAATTAGAAATCAACGGAAAGAAATGTGAGAAACTTCCAAATATTAGGATATCACACAAGAAACTTATAAATAACCCATGAGTCAAAGAAGAAATTTCAAAGGAAATTAGAAAACATCTCACCAGGTGGCACAGTACTAACATAACGAGAGACATACAGGTCAGTATAACAAAAGAACTCAAAAATACCACCTTACATTTATGTTTAATTGATTTTAAACAAAGGCACCAAGGCAATTCAATAGGGGAAATGTTAATCTTTCCAACAAATGGTGCTGGGAACAATGAGACATCTATATATTAAAAAAACAAAACAAAACAAAAAAACCTTAGATCCTTACCTCATACTATAACTCAAAATGGATCATATACCTAAATGTAACAGTTAAAACAATAATGCTTTTGAAAGAACTGTGACCTAGTGTTGAGCAAAGACTTCTTAGATAAGCTACTAAAAGCAGAGCCCATAAAAGAAAAAGTGGATAAATTGGATTCTGTAAAATCAAAAACTTTTACTCTTGAAAACTCTTCAAAAAGTGTCATTCAGAAAATAAAAACGGAAATCAGACTGGGAGTAAACACTTCCAAATCATTTATCTGACAAAGGGCTTGTATCCAGAATATATAGGGAACTCTTAAAACTCAATCAAGAAAAATAACCCAGCTTTAAAATGAGCAAAAGATTTAAACAACAAAGTAAATGGCTAATACACACATAAAAAGATGCTCAACATCATTAATCATTAGAGACATAAATTAAAACCACAATGCTATCACCCTACATCTAAATCGAGGGATTCTCAAATAGATCAACTTTAGGAAAGAGCAGAATCGAAGGTGAAAATCAGGAAACTGATGCTCTTAAAATTATCTCTGCTGACAGACTCCTTGGAAAGTTTTTGTGTACCTTCAGTGGTACACATCATATCTGAAGACCACTAGATAAGAAAAAGTTTGGAGACCAAGAAAATAAGAATATTTTGGTTAACAGAATTTGACAGCCTGGAATGGCATCCAGCATGAATGAGGTTGACTTGGAAAAGAAAAAGTATTTAGGGCTGGGAAAGGAGCTAGCAAGAAGAGAGGCAAGGAAGAGGGAGGAAAACTCATGCTTGAGTGTTAAACATCATCATCATAATTCTGATAGTACCCAATACTAGCAAGTAGAGCAAAGTAAGGACAATATCCTCAGGCCACACCCAAGATGTTTTCCTCATTTGGTTGACTCCCACCAGGATCCCTGCCCTAGCCCAGCTGACTAGAAAGCACCATGTCCAGGCAAGTCGCCACATCTCCCTCTTCAAAACATACTTCTAGAAATCACTCAGCAGCAACAAACTGTTACAAAGCAGAGACCTGCACCAAGCAGCGCTGACTTTCCTCTAGAAATCACTCAGCAGCAACAAATTGTTACAGAGAGCTGCACCAAGCAGAGCTGACTTTCCTTTATGCCCCACATCCCAGCCTGATGTACACAGATTATAGTATTTATCACACTGTAATCATAATTGTTTGTTTACATGCCAGCCTCTTTCTCCTCCCATTGGAGACTGTGCCACCTTTGACAGACATCCTGAGATCTTCCGCACCCACTACAGTGCCTGGCATATAGTGCATAGTCAATACATGCTCAATTAATGGAAGACTGGGTTTGGTAATACTGCAGATGCAAACTCCAACTGCACAAATGTCTTTGTCTACAAGATCCTTTTAGAAAACATTTCTGGGCAGCAAAGTTACTGTGAAACCCATGTTTTCTTTCTTAGGATAACCTCTAATCTATAATTAAGCAACTGATATGTAGTTATATATCTAACACCTTTTATATAAAATCTTCAGAGAAATGGCCACATAAAAGAAACATGTTACAGTGAGGAGTCCAGGGAATAGACAGAAATTAAGTAACCTTGTTCCTGCCAGTACTAGTGACTCTGGATGTGTCTTCTTTGGCTTTCAGTTTCCTCATAGGTATAATGAAAGGATCAGAATACTATCTTTAAATACTTTCCAAACGTTAGTTTTCTAAGACTCTTTAATCGATGAGTGTTTCACTAATGAACAGTCAGGAAGTGGGAGGCATCTCAATGCTGAGTGTTCATAACATTTTGGTACTTCTTTGCTAGAGATCAAACAAATTATCCTTTTGAAACACATTCAGTGCTTCAATTCCATGAACAAAATTAAATAAGAGCAAATATGAATATCCTTTTGAAATCAGGAACTTGACCTTACAACTTTAATTTCAATTATTGAAGTTAGCATTTTATTACATGTCATTGGGGTTGATAGACAAACAATAAGCTTACCTGCCAGGAAACTGCTCCCAAAATCGCTGTTGCAAGAAGACTAAAAAACACCAACTGCTCTGAAATCAAGCAAAAATGGCGCATCCCTTTGGATGCCATGATTCTATCAAGGCTATTGTAGTCTGTCCTGTGGGTAAAATATACTTTATGGCAGTCATTTAATTTGGTATGGAAACCCCAAAGAGTTAAAAGAAAAATAATATGACAAATCATCCAGAAAATTCCAAAAATTGAAAAGCCAGGTATTACAAAATACCAGAGATGAGTGTCTCTAAGTTTAAATGCTGAAAGAATAAAAAATGTAAGCTCAATCATTCCAGCAAAAACGACTGAAAGTCTTCTGCAAATTCTTCCACGGTACAAAAAGGGTTTCCATCTTTCAGTTACTGAAAGTCCACTAAAATAAATGTCAAGGAAAGGATCAGTTATCAGGCAAATAAAAAAACATGCAAAAGCAATCGGATTTTTGGGAGTTTCCAATGAGGAAAAAAATAACAAAACTGCAAAAATAACTAAGTTTGGAATAGCTAAGAAAGATTTCATTCTCAGATCAATAATCAGCATAGCCAGAGCAACAACAAGCAAAATGACACTCAGAGACTTCTCCACCAACATAGTTGTGCTGGCAATGGCAAATCCAACAAGCTCCAGAAATTCAATTGTGGTTAGTAAAGTGGGTCGATGACGGACGTAACCAGAAATTCTCTCCACCAGAGAGCACAATATCCTTAATACTATGGATGTCAGAAGCAAATATTTGGTTGATTCTTCTTTTACATCATTTTTAAAGGATGAATTATCAAGAAAACATAGGAGGCCAAGCAAGAATCCAAACCAAAGATTGGAAAGACTTAAACTTGCTGCTTCCATTGAAAAATAATAATAGAGTATGCTGGCGATTCCAAGAACAAAAAGACCAAGAATAAAAATTACCAAAATTAAGGAATTTGCTGTTTTTTCCCATCTTACGTATAGACCTAAGCATATAGCAACCAATAAATTGATTCTGGCTAAATAGCCAAGATACCGCACTGAAGAATGCATGTTCACTTCTCTATTTACTTCTTCCAGTCTTGTCATTGCTAAATAGAGACAATGACTAAAGCAGTAACGCAGTGATTTACACATGTAACCAGCAATGTGGGCTTTTCCCTCACGTTACAAAAATTAACCGCTTGTATTTCATCCAGTATATCCAGTGTATCCGCAACTCCTATTTCAACATTTTCTCTCGTGGAAATTTTGTTTATAGTGATCTAAAAAGAAGAAGAAAATATTTCAGAGTTAATTTTATATAATTTACTCATTATTTTATATAAAGATGCATATAAAAAGTGAAAAAATCCAGTTTAAAAACTGAAATCCAGTTTACAACCTGATTTGCAATATCTTAATGATTACTGTTTCTGGCTTAAAACTTGGCAGTTTATCCAAACAGACATGGCTGTGCCTTCTTCTCATCATATGCTATGATTGCGTGAATAGAATTGTTCTTCCAGAGATGGTGAAGAATTCACCTAATCCATTCTGGTTTAAATATCTGGTTTTTCAACAACAAGGAAATGTGATATGTTAGCTTTAGCTTAGATTGTAGCAGGTTTTGGTACAACATAAAGCTACTTAGTTCTTAAAGCAAATGAAGGACTTCATTGTTACCTCTAATTTGAAAAGCACTTGTATATACTAGTAGTAACAGCAACCATTACTACCTGCCAAATATCCCCTACATCTTTTTACAAGGCAGCTCTAGAATGTTACACAAGGTCTTTACATTGTTTAACTAATAAACTCACTAGAATTAAAGTTACTCAGTCCCTAAAGTTGAGCCATAATTCTCCCTGTACTTTTACCTCTATTAAATTACTAAACACTATCTCTATAGAAACCAATTCCTGATCAATTCTGAGTCAAAAATGAAAACCTGAAATGCTCACCCTAATAGTCATTATAAAGTAAATGATGAACTTTTCAATTCTATTTAAACAAATGTTACTACAAATATTTGTTAGAGGACCCAGGAAATTAAAGCTTTCACAAGTCACACCTAAAAAGTGATAGTAGTCAAAAAATGATTTAACCATCTATTATAATTCTTCAAAATTTCCTAGTATACTGTTTCAAAAGAACTGATCAATGGTTCATGGTAACTCTATCTAAAGGGAACTCAATCAGATACTTAAAAAGAAACTAGGGCCAGGCATGGTGGCTCTCTCCTATAATCCCAGAACTTTGGGAGGCCGAGGCAGGCGGATCACTTGAGGTCAGGAGTTAGAGACCAGCCTGGCCAACATGACAGAACCCCGTCTCTACTAAAAATACAAAAATTAGCTGGGTGTGGTGGCAGGCATCTGCAATCCCAGCTACTCGAGAGGCTGAGGCAGGAGAATCGCTTGAACCCAGGAGGCGGAGGTTGCAGTGAGCTGAGATTACGCCACTGGATTCCAGCCTGGGGGGTAAAGCGAGACTCTGCCTCCAAAAAACAAACAAACAAAAAATACTAGTTTATGATTAGTTTATTTGTACTTTCTTAATAGCTGTACATTAAAAGGCTCAAGAGAAATATGAGAACCTAGAATCAACTCTTAGTACTCATTTGGCTGGAGAGGAATGTTACTAAAGCAACCTTAGGGTCCCTGGGAAGTTCCAACTATTATTACTTACTTTGCTTTTATATGTTCAACAGGCGTTATTTTTTTTATTTTTACAACTAAGTCTATTTAAGTATTCCAACTGATTTGCCTTAATTAAATTTGTATTCACTTATGTCTTAAGGTACCACATAATGTTAAAGAAAATGTCTTCCTTTGGTATATTTTGGTTTATCTTTTTGAGTGTGAGAAACTGACAAAATCTGGAATGCACTGAGGTTTTTTAAAAACATCACTATTGTGTGTTATAAAATAATTCAACAAATACATTAGAATATTTATCCTCAAAGAGCTGATGGTACAATCTGGGCTCAGATTACTGAACACTGCTGGACAGGGGGAAAAAAAATCACACACTAGGCTAAATAGTACCACTCTAAATCCATGGAACATCCTTCCCTGGTCAACATTCTTCTCCATTCTTGTGACTACTCAAAACCCTACTTCCTCTCTTCAAATCTCTGATACCCTACTTCTTCCTATTGCATGCTCACCAGATGATTCTGCCTCCTAGAGAGTCATCAAAAGGGAGTTCACTTGAGTTCCCAAGTCCACAAACCCATCTCTACTTATATCTCCAAATATAAGGAAAGAAGGCTGTTGCTTCTCTGTTAAATCTTTCAGCCATAATGTGCATCTTTCCTTCTGCCTCTTCCAGAACATCAGACTCTCTCCTCTCTGCAAACTCTCACTTTTATCTATTAGTATTTAAACATTTATAAACCTGTTTCTTTTAAAAACAATACCAAAAAAGTTAAGAAACAAAACAAAAACAATCCTTGCTAATCCCCATATCCTGTATGAAACTCAATCTTGTGTCCTTTTGACAGCTGGGAGGTAGTTGCTTTACTTCTTACCCACTCACTTTTCAAACCACTAAATGGTGTTTCCCACTACACAACTGCTCTGCTAAGTGCTGAAGTGACCTGTAAATTCCTAAATCCAATGGGTACTTTTCACTCAGTATCCTGCACACTCTTTTTTTGGGGGGGGGGGGGTTGGGGGGAGATGGGGGAACGGAGTCTCGATCTGTTGTCCAGGCCAGAGTGCAGTGGCAGGATCTCGGCTTGCTGCAACCTCCGGCTATCGGGTTCAGGCGATTCTCCTGTAACCTCTGACTATGGGGTTCAAGCAATTCTCCTGCCTCAGCCTCCAGAGTAGCTGGGATTACAGGTGCCCATCACCATGCCCAGTTAATTTTTGTATTTTTAGTAGAGATGGGGTTTCACCATATTGGCCAGGCTGGTCTCAAACTCCTGACGTCAGGTGATCTACCGGCCTCGCCATCCAAAGTTCTGGGATTACAGGCACAAGCTACTGCACCTGGCCTTTTTTTTTTTTTTTTTGAGACGGAGTTTCACTCTTGTTGCCCAGGCTGGAATACAATGGAGCGATCTCGTCTCACCGCAACCTCGGCCTCCCAGGTTAAAGAGATTCTCCTGCCTCAGCCTCCCAAGTAGCTGGGATTACAGGCATGTGCCACCACACCTGGCTAATTTTGCATTTTTAGTAGAGACAGGGTTTCTCTATGTTGGTCAGGCTGCTCTCGAACTCCCAACCTCAGGTGATCTGCCAGCCTTGGCCTCCCGAAGTGCTGGGATTACAGGCGTAAGCCACTGCGCCTGGCTGTGTCCTGCATATTCTTTAAACAAACTTACATTGTTGACTTCTCTCTCTTTCCAAACCATTCCTTTTCGTGGGCATCCAAAGACTAAGTCTCCAGATTTTTTTTCTTAATTCATTGGTTTCCCCTCCTCGGTCTCCTTGAAGGCTCTTCATTCTCAATCCATCCTTTGTAATGTTCAACCCCAAACCTAGGCTTTTCTCTCACTACATACTTTCTCTAAGCAATGTCATTTATTTCTATGTCTTCAATTATTATCTCTCTACTTAAGTGCACACAAATATCAATCTACTATAGAAATTGAAGCACCAGCTCTGTTCTGCACTGTTAACAGAGGTAAATACCTGGAAACAAAGTAAATGTAAACATGTAAAAAATCAGTCAAGTACAGTGCATCCATATAATGCAATATATGCAGTTACCTTCTGATGGACCAAAATCAACATGGCAGATTGTTTTTAAATGGTAATTTACAAAAGTCTTTCCCCATTCTGATCTTCTTCAAAAGACAGCCTGAGTTAGAGAATAATAGAAAAACATTACAATCTTTTTCAATTGGTTTGCCATCATTAATGATTCAATGGACAATTATTCCAGAGGTAGACTAAAATGGAACATAGAAGATTCAATATGCATATGGGAAAAGTTAACTAATCACTGCCAGAGTCTGATTATTTAATAAAATCTTACATACTACTCTAACCCTCCTCTCCACCATCATCTACATTTAACCCTCACCAAGTCCTGTCTACTATTCTTCCTAAACAGTTTTTAAGTGTTTCTACTTCTCGTCCCCAGGGTCACCATCCCGATTTTGGCCACCATCATGTTGAACATTTCCCTGTATCCACTCTTGCCCTCTCTAAGAAGTGTACTTTTTAAAACCAAAATGTAGCACTCCACTATGTAAAATGCTCCAATGGCGTCCCATCACCCTTAACAATAAAGTCAAAACTCCTTCAATGCCTTATAAGGCTCTCCGTGTTGGGCCTGAATAACTCTCCTGCCTTATCTGTTATCACTCTTCCTCTCACACTTTGTTTTCCAAACTTACTGACCTTTCAATTACAAACTGCACAAATGCTATTCCCAAGCCAGGTACACTCCTTTTCCTCCTCCTGGCCCCACCCCAGTGCTCACACCTGGCTTACTCCAACTCTTCAGGTCTCATATAAAACATTTTCTTAAGAGATTATCCTTGCCCCCTCCCCATTACATGACCCCCGTACTTTCTCTGTTACATACCATCACTTATTTCATGTCTGCTTTTCCCACTAGATTAAAAGGTCTGAGGCTTTGTCTTCAATACTGTACACCCAGTGACTAGCAAAAATTCGGCATCAAGAAGGTATTCAATAAATGCTTGTTGAAAAATAAAGACTAATACAGAAATAACTACATTTAACAACAATGGTCGCCATTGGACACTTATTAATGCATAAAGAGAATACAGAACTTAGCTAATATCTCACAACTAATAACTGGTAGTACTAAGGGAGATTCCATAAATGTTTGGTTTCTCTTTCAGCTTTCCACCAGTCTTTACTTAATTCACCCAAAGTCTTCCAAACCAATTCTCTTTCCATGTCCTACCTCTAGGGAATGACTTGAGGCATACCGTATCACTTGGATTATCGTTCACTCAGAAACTTTCTGTCCCATCTAGAAGTGTCAAGGCTGAAACAACTACACTGAAAAAACAGGGCCAGGGAATTTCAGTGCTTCGGTTCTGAGTTACTGATAACTATTTGAGCCATCTCATACGAGGAAAACGGTATCTCGAATATTAAACTCCTGGGCACTAGAGCAGCGACAGCAATTTCTCTCCCTTTCGGCCTCCTTTTAGCGAGATGTGGGAGGTCCGACAAGGAGCTTGGCTGCTCTCCACCATTCTCTACCTCGGGAGAACGCGACCACAACGTGGCGCCCAGTTGAGGGGGAACCCTTGCAAGATGCGGAGAGGCGGTCCCACACCCTCCAATCTCCAACCACCACTGTCAACTCCTCCAGGGGCAAGTATCCTACCCCGGCCCTGGGAGGCCGGCTGGGCGGAGCTTGGGGTCCACCACGCGGAGCCCTGGCGGTGTCTGTACCTAGATCTCGCCGCCCTGCCGTCCATCCATTTCTCCCTACCTGACTCGGCCGTCGCCACCAACGCGCTCTCCCAAACCTCGGAATCAGTTCCAAAACCAAACCAAAAAGGAGGAGGGCAGACAAGGCTTCAGCCTGCAACTGAAAACAGGGAGGCGGCACGCCTTAGGGAACGAGGGCCCGAGGACATACGCGCTAATACAGGCCAGTGTTTGTGGAAACTTTCTCCGTTACCGGCCCGGCCGCGACCGCCATGTTTCCGCCGCCAAAATCCGCGACGGTACGGAACGTCGCCGGGGTCAAACTGCGCCGCGCGCGTCCTTCCCGAGGCCCGGCCCCCTCCCCGCCCAAACCCGCGCGCCGCCGCGCACCGAGGTGAGCAAGGCGCTGCGCGAGTGTCAACTGCCCCACCTAAGGCGCCTGACTTCCTCGAGCCAAAGTCGACTCCTGGGACCTGGAATCAGTGGCTGAGAACAGCGGGAAGACCACCAAAGATCAGGCTGACAGTGCCCATCAAGCATCTAGGCCACCGCCTCGGGCTGGACAGAACGGGGACAGGGCGGACGGGACTGCCACGCGTGGGCTGTAAATACTGCGGGAGGCGTTGCTGCTCTTTAATATATGTGGCATAATATATGGCTTTGTAACCAGCTAAGCCCCAAGCTCCTTAGGCTCGCCCTTAGAACCCTTCAGTTCCTCAAATGCTGGGACATGTCGGGTTTTGCTAAACATTAAATCACCTTAGCATAGTGCCTGACACAAAGTTAGCACTTAAATACTTGTAAAATAATAATGTACAATAGGCTCTCCACGATCCCTAGTTCTCTCTTCCCACTTATTTTGCGTATATTATCTATATTTTTCCTATTTTCCATAATAGAGTGAATTTCCTAATTTTCACAATAGATGTTGGGGGTTGGTGTGGCCAGCACATCCATAGGAATGCACAACCCTCAGATTGAGATTCTGCATATGTATATGAAAATTTTGAGTTAGATTCTCTCTAGACTCCTAAAAGCAATCGCAACTCAACTTCCCAAATCTGTAACTAGCTCTCTGGGGGAACACCAGTGTCACATTTCCAACTACTGCTAGATGTTTCTACTCAAATATATTGTCATCACGTCCAACTCAACTTGCCTTTAAAGGACGTTTATATATATTTATGATGCTTCCCATTTGAATCCCCTTCCGTATTTGGAGAATTCCCCACCTTAGTTAAGAGTCTAATGGCTGCAGCTGAAATGCTGAACCCTTGTTTAACCAATCATGTGTACCCGCTGGAAGCCATGAGTCAACAAAGGCACAGAAAGCTACACTCCCAAGTCACCTGTAGGAGTATAGCAAGTGTAGAAACTGAGAACCCATCCCCAACAGCAAGGTGAGCTTCTGGGGCAGTAGTGAGAGTGTTGGCATCCACCATTAACATGTCAGAGATGGAAGATGCCTATGCTTGGTGAGGGTCACAACCCCAGAGCCCTTTCCCAATCTGTTCTGTAGCCTGTTAACAGTCTCTGTGTACATTTCTGGGTAGCCTGTGACAGACTCTGTACTATATAGCCATGAGGCAGGAGAATAGGGTCTGAAGGCAAGGAACTTAAGGCCGATTCATGCTGACTTCCTAGAACTAAATCAAAAGGAAAGCCCCAACTTTCCACACCTGAGGAACAAAAGGACCCGTCCGCCTCCCCCACAACCTCCCTTTTCTGCGTGGCAGACGGAAAATTGGAAGTACCCCTGATTGGTTGCTTTCCACAACTAATCAGATGTTTGCATAGTGTGTAACCTTTGTAACTTCGCTTCAGGCTCTGATTGGTTGCTTTCCGCTATCAGACTGATTGTGGGCCACTATATTTGCGTGGGGGTACACCAAGTGGCCAATGGGAAACTTCTAGGGGTATTTATACCCCAGAAAATTCTATAACCCGGCCGCCCGGCTCTTGAGTCCCATGTTCCGGCTGCTCACGCCCTGTGGAGTGTACTTTCATTTTCAATCTCTGCTTTTGTTGCTTCATTCCTTCCTTGCTTTGTTTGTGCGTTTTGTCCAATTCCTTGTTCAAGATGCCAAGAACCTGGACACTCTCCACCGGTAACAGCCAGAGGTAGTTTCTGGCCATGTAGGTGCAAGCCTCAATCTCCAGTTATCCTTTGAGCTACTTAGCGTCCTCCAGTAAACTTACTTTCTGCTTAAATTAACTACAGCTGCGTTCTGTTGCTTAGCACTAAGACCAGATCACTAAATCAGTGGTTTTTCATCATCTTCCTCTGACCTGGTCTTCTGCCTTATGACTTTAAAACCATTTTTGATGCTTGTTATCTTGTCCTTATACTTTAGAATACTTCAGTGAGATGTGTATATGTTTGAAAGTTAATCTGCACAGCCCAGGGTGGGTAATTGGCATTTGAAAGACTAATAAAAACTGTTCACTGCAGAGTTGAATGCACAGATGCTTCCTGTATCACCATGTAAATCTGCACTAGGTGTACCTCAGCATAAAGGATTAGAAAGAATTCTTCATTGTGGAAACAAGATATTCAAGATACGTGACTGGCTAGAATATTGTACAAGCACCTCTTTGCATAACTGTGGAGTAGAAATCTGAGTGTAGCAGACTGACACCCTTCAGAATGGCTGTTAGTCTAGACTTAATATTTTGCCACAAAGTACTATTTGTACTGTTTTTTTGTGTCTGCTTGCTGATAAGATTTGTGTAGTAGCATTCAGTCTGAGACTTGTTTTAACTGTAGGACACTACTTAGTACCAAGGGAAAAGAAAGATAGCCTTGTCAATCATTAGTTATTGAAGTCTACCAGTATTTACCAAAAAAAAATTGAAAGTTATGAATGACCAAGTGCTGTTCATTTTCATCCACCTTATCTCTTGCATTTATTATTTCCCATCAACTTCCATTGCTTCTACTCTGTTATAGTTTTCAGTAACCTCTATGCTGGTCATCTTGATTTCAGCCTCAGCTCAGTCTAATCCATTACACAGGCCCCTGGCTGATACTTTCAGAGTACCACACTTTGTCACTTCTGGGATTAAAACCAGTGACTTGGCCAGGCGCAGTGGCTCATGCCTGTAATCCCAGCACTTTGGGAGGCCGAGATGGGCGGGTCACAAGGTCAGGAGATCGAGACTTCCTGGATACCACGGTGAAACCCCGTCTCTACTAAAAATACAAAAAATTAGCCAGGCGTGGTGGCAGGCGCCTGTAGTCCCAGCTACTCGGGAGGCTGAGGCAGGAGAATGGCGTGAATCCGGGAGGCGGAGCTTGCAGTGAGCCTAGATCATGCCACTGCACTCCAGCCTGGGCGACAGAGCGGTAGTCTGTCTCAAAAAAAAAAAAAAAAAAAAAGTGACTTACACAGGCTACAGAATAAAGTCCAAATTCAGTCTGGCACCTGAGGCCCTCAAGGACCCAATCTAAATCCCCCTTTATCCTGAAAGTAGAAGTGTCAGGGTCAGATTCTGACATCTGGTACATCCACAGCCAAACACCTAAATATAAAACAGACACCTGGGAAACATTGCAGAGACTGGTGATTTCAGGTTCTGGTTAATGATGGCGGTATAATGATCCTAATCACTGGAATATCCTTTCTTTAACACCTGCTTCTATACGGACAAGGTCTGTGTGCTTCAGGCCAGGAATATCACCTGAGGAGTTATTTCAGACTAGGAACACCTGATGAAAATATAATCATGATAATAAGAAAAGGAAGAGGGAGCAGCACCCATCACAGGAGGTACTCCAATCCTATCACACATTCTAGTCCTCCGGCAGGGAGTCACAGATGAATCCTATGTTATTTCTTATGTTCTCTATTGTTTTTCTCCTACTTTTTCAATTTATTCAGTTCAGTCCTAGGGCTAAACTAACTCAGATTCTCCATAGAAAATCAGCTGGGCCTCCTTTATTACCTCTGTGTAATACTTTGAGTTTACAAAGTACTTTCACCTATATCATATAATCTACACAAAAACCCAATCATGTAAATATTTTCATCACCAGTTTGCAAATAATGTAACCAAGGTCCAGAGATACTACATTGTTCTAGGTCCTCATAGCTGTCTAAGATCAGGGAATTAAATCCAGTCTTTTGACTTCAAGTTCTGGGCCGTCAAGAGCAGCTTTCTAAATATCAACCCCCCTCTGTGGGGAATCACAGGTATTTCCTTCTTATTACTATTGTTTCAGTAAGTAGGGAAAGAGTTACAGCATTCAGTCTACACCTTAGAATCATCTGGCCTAGACCAGTTAGAGTTTCCGAAATTAGCCTTGGGTGTGTGTGTGTGTGTGTGTGTGTGTGTGTGTGTGTGTGTTTGTTTAAAGCCTCCCTCTCTTCCAGTGATTCTAATGTAAAGCACAGCTTGAAAATCACTAAGTTATTACCTCCATTAGTGCAGTGGTTCTTCAAGTATGGTCCCCAGACTAGCTGCATTAATATCACCTGTTAGAAATGGAAATATAAGGCCCTATCCCCAGACCTACTGAATCAGAAACTCTAAGGGTAGAGCTGAGATTTTAGGATTTGGCTCAGATGTGTGTATCAGAAGACTCAACAGTGTCTTAATTGCAGTTTATTTCTTTCTCATGTAAAAATGGTCGAGAAGTAGGTGTTCCAGAGCAGACATGGTCCTTCCTTGGTGTTAGAGATCCTGATTCCTTCTTTTTTGCTACCCTGCCATTCTCAGGATGTGGCTTCCTCTTCACAGGCCAAGATGGCTGCCTGATTTCCAGCTATGACTTCTGAATTCCAGTCAGCAAGTAGGAAATGCACTTCCCCCCACCCTTACTTTGACACTTCTTGGAAGTTGTCTGACACATCAGCTTATATCACATTGACTAGTATTTAGTATTTATGGAGTCTGCAAAAGGTGGTAATTTTGGAGGCAGCCATGTGCCCACCTAAAATCAGGGTTCTCTTGCAGAGAAAGGAGAATAAATACTGGATGACAGCAAGCAGTATTTGCCAGAGTTAACTAACTGCTCTTTTTCTACCTCCAAAATTCTTAAGTGAGATGACAAGCATCATTATTGTTGGAACAGTTTTGGTTTGTTGTTCTAAGTGATGCTCTTTATTTCATTAGTCTTTTCATTGTATTAATGATGGCAAGTATTTATTCATATGGCTGAACCATGATTAATTCTTCACCTAATTTTGAATATTTGGAA